TGCTGTTTCCCATTAACCTAGAACCTTTCATTCATTTTCTCCCACAGCTTGCTTAAAAAAAAAAGGTAATAGCTCATGTTGCCAGGCTTGATGGATCTTTGTAGTTTTCCCACTGAACCAACCTTCTGACCTAGAGAAAACAAGGTTTCAGTTTCATTGTTGTATGAAGATTTCCTACATTTTTGGTGTATCAGGTTTTTTTTTCTTCTGGAAGATCTGTTAGTATTTTCAGTGTGTCATAAACTGCCACTTCAATTGAAGAGCAACAAGTTTGAAGTCTTGAGCCTGGTTCCCTTTCCCCTCCATGCCTACTGGTCATTGTAGTTAAAGGTTACAATCTGGCCTTTAATTTTTCCACAAATAATATATTGAAAGTACTGACACAAGCTTGAGGAGGCAGAGGCATTCATAGCTATTTTCATTATTTCCTTCTCATGTTACTAATGTTCTCTGGCAGTTTCTCACTACAAATAATAATGTGTACGTGTACCCCTTGGTTCTTCTTCATTTTCCTTTAACTGTGTTTGTTCTGAAGTAAACTGAGCCTGGTTTGCAGATATAGTTAAAGCTTTTAATTAATTCCAGTAATAGTGTTTGAAAATATGGATATCCTGTGATAATTCTTATCTGTAATTCTTTAATAGACTGATTTTTGGGAGGGTGTTGTGGTTTTTTTAATGGGTGTTCTCTGGCTACAGTTAATCTGCAGCAAGTAGAATATTTGTTTGGTTTTCAAGTCAATCCCTGGCCCAGGATTTTAACTCCTGAAAGGTGTTAAACCAAAACCTCTCCACTTCTTTGGCTGCAGGAGTCTTTGCTTCTTGGTTGGCCAGGATCCATTTTGTTCTTCCTCTGAAGGCTGTTGTTGCACCCTCTGTGTATGTGCCTTTTCCTCCCCCCCCTTTTTAAGAAAAGGCACTCAGAGGATGATTCCATGGAAATAAAGAGCTGGACTCAGCAGTGACAAGCTGTGCCCGTGGGTGGAAAAGGATTGGATAGCTCCCTTGGACACTTCATTTTTTTGGGGCAGCTGCCTGACAGATTCTTGGCTTCTTCACATCTTTGGTGGTGCCACTTTTTTATGTGCTAAAAGCCTCTCTCAATGGAACAGCCTTAACTGCAGTCCTCTTTTTCTCTAGAAGATAATGATGCACTTTTGAAGCTGTCAGTGCAGTGTCCCCAGCCACAAAAGGCTGAACTGTAGTTGTCTTCTATGTGGTTTTTATATTTCTGGAAAGGAAAGCATCATGTTTTTGTCTACTAACTCATGTATGTAGGGCACGGAAGTTGTGAAGGATGGTTTTGCTCATAGCTGTCATTGGTCCTGGGTGCACTTTTTCCTCTGACATCTTCCTGGCTGGCTAGGAATGTGGGAAATCAAGTAGACAAAACCTTGTGAATGTCACAGTCCTCTGTGAGGGACCACACTGGAAGTGAGGTGATGTCATTACAATAGTTGTGAAGCATCTGTAAAATGCATGTAATGTAAAGAAATACAGAAATAGCATTGCACAGTGATAATGACTGTGGGTCGTGGGGCTTAGCAAGAGTCAGGCAGTTTTTCTGAAGTGTGTGGATAAATCATGTGACCATAACAGAAATGTAAAGGTTTGAAATTACAAATAGAGAAGTTTTGATGTGTGTTTCGAGTGTTGTGGAGGCTGTGAGAGGGCCTCACACATCCGTGCTGTGGATGGGAGGGATTGGTTTGTGTCTCTCACAGGTTGTGTCCAGGTTTCCAGTTTTATTACCTGCATGTTCCTGAAAGAATAAAAAAAACAAACCACCTTACTTTTTTTGCACAAAAATTAACATGTTTCTTTTAAATTTTTTATTTCCTAAAGAAGAGGAGACAAAAGAGGTGCCTGTGGAGGAAGGGGAGGAGGAAGACAGTGATGATGATGCTGAACCAATTGCAGAATTCAGATTTGTACCCAGCGACAAATCAGCCTGTAAGTGAAGAGAAAAATCATGTTTTAGCCTCAGGTCTTGGCTATATGTGGAATCACAGAATCATGGAATTGTCAGAGTTGGAAGGGACCTCTAGAGATCATCTAGTCCCACTCCCCTGCTAAAGCAGGATCACCCAGAGCACATCACCCAGGGCTGCATCCAGGGGCTGGAATATCTGCAGAGAAAGGGACTCCACACCCTCCCTGGGCAGCCTGTCCCAGGGCTCTGTCACCCTCACAGTTAAGAAGTTTTCCCTCCTATTTCAGTGGCACTCCCCATGTTCCAGCTTGTGCCTGTTGCCCCATATCCTGTCCCTGGGCACTGCTGAGCAGAGTCTGGCTCCATCCTCCTGCATCCACCCTGAGATACGTCCAGGCATTAAGAAGGTCTCCCCTCAGCCTTCTCTTCTCCAGGCTGAGCAGTCCCAGTTCTCCCAGCCTTTCCTCATCAGGGAGATACTCCAACCCCCCAGTCATCTTTGTTGCCCTCCCCTGGACTCTCTCCAGCAGTTCCCTGTCTCTCTTGAACTGGGGAGCCCAGAACTGGACTATTCCAGCTGTGGCCTCACCATGGCAGAGTAAAGAGGGAGAATAACCTCTCTTGACCTACTGGCTACATTCTTCCTTTTGCATCCCAGGATTCCATTGGTCTTCTTGGCACAAGGGCACGTTGCTGGCTCATGGATCATTTACTATCTCCCAGGACTCCCACATCCTTCTCCTTGGAACTGCTTTCCAGCAGGTCTACCCCTAACCTATATTGGTGCATGGAAGTCACTGGGGTGTAGAGATGTGACATGATCCTTTATTGTCCTCCTCCAATTGAGTGATTTCTGTGTGCTGAGAAGAACAAAACAAATTGTTTTATCTTGTTTGAAACTGGAATATTTCAAGCAGCCACTTCTCCAGGAAAATTCCAGTGCTTTAAAATAGAGATTTTTATGTATAAACAGATGACACAGGTAGCCTTATCTATTTATCTTTGCAGAGAACTTGTATGGGAAACATCTTTTTAGTTAGAAATTCAGTGGCATTTGAGTCAGTGATAATATCATGAAGAACATGCTGAAATCCAGGCACTGCTGAGAGTCTGGCTCCATCCTCGGGTATCCACCCTGAGATACGTCCAGGCATTAAGAAGGTCTCCCCTCAGCCTTCTCTTCTCCAGGCTGAGCAGTCCCAGTTCTCCCAGCCTTTCCTCATCAGGGAGATACTCCAACCCCCCAGTCATCTTTGTTGCCCTCCCCTGGACTCTCTCCAGCAGTTCCCTGTCTCTCTTGAACTGGGGAGCCCAGAACTGGACTATTCCAGCTGTGGCCTCACCATGGCAGAGTAAAGAGGGAGAATAACCTCTCTTGACCTACTGGCTACATTCTTCCTTTTGCATCCCAGGATTCCATTGGTCTTCTTGGCACAAGGGCACGTTGCTGGCTCATGGATCATTTACTATCTCCCAGGACTCCCACATCCTTCTCCTTGGAACTGCTTTCCAGCAGGTCTACCCCTAACCTATATTGGTGCATGGAAGTCACTGGGGTGTAGAGATGTGACATGATCCTTTATTGTCCTCCTCCAATTGAGTGATTTCTGTGTGCTGAGAAGAACAAAACAAATTGTTTTATCTTGTTTGAAACTGGAATATTTCAAGCAGCCACTTCTCCAGGAAAATTCCAGTGCTTTAAAATAGAGATTTTTATGTATAAACAGATGACACAGGTAGCCTTATCTATTTATCTTTGCAGAGAACTTGTATGGGAAACATCTTTTTAGTTAGAAATTCAGTGGCATTTGAGTCAGTGATAATATCATGAAGAACATGCTGAAATCCAGGCACTGCTGCTGGAAAGCCCTTGTGTCCTGTTTGGTGCGGAGCTTAGAGTTGAATATTCTCAGTCTCTCTGATCTCTCAGTTCAAGATTTCTTGCCTTTTGATGTGGGTATTGGTGGAGAAATGAGGGAGATTTGTGTTCCTTTGTGTCCCTGCAGTGGAAGCCATGTTTTCAGCCATGTGTGAATGCCAAGCTCTTCACCCAGACCCAGACGATGAAGATTCAGACAATGATTACGAAGGGGACGAGTACGATGTTGAAGCCCATGGTTTGTAACATTTGTTTCTTTTGAAATACACCTGCCAGCACTGGGATACCTGGAACTTCTGTGGTCTGTTAAGAAGTTTCTTGTTTATTACTCATCTTGCTGAAACATTCTTTTTGCCACAGGCACAGTATAAAAACTCAGAAATCTGCAGGAAATCTGTAAAGTTGAAGTGCCACAAATCGCTGAAATTCAGCAAAAGACTTGTTCTCATTCTCAAAAGTCCCAAAACACAAATATCATCCTTTCCTGTTCCCAGTGGACGTGCTAGCCCAGGTTCAGTGCCCACACTGTGATGTGGTCAGTGCACATTTCTGTGTATATTCTGTAACTGATGTAAACAGCCTTTTTATCTCGAGTCACAGAATTACAGAATGTTAGGGGTTGGAAGGGACCTCTGGAGATCGACTCCAACCCTCCTACCAGAGCAGGACCACCTGGCGTCACTCAGAAACACATCCGATGGGTCTTGAAAGTCTCCAGAGAAGGAGACTCCACAAGCTCTCTGGGCAGCCTGTCCCAGGGCTGTGTCACCCTCACAGTCAAGTTCTTCCTCATGTTGAGGTGTGTCACGGGCTGGTACCGGGGGCTACCGGCTGTCAGGATGTTTCCACGACTTCCCCCCCCAATGTGGAGAGGTTTGTTAAAAAGCCCGAGCGTCCACCTCTCCCAGAGGAACGGCTGCTGAGGGTTCATTTCTAAGAGGGTAGATTAAAGTACCCTCCCACCACGCTCAGAAATTGTTACTGAGACCAATGTTTAGTTTGCAAATTAATCAGTTTATTAAGGGACAATACAAATTAAGGGATCAAGGTTGGCTAGGTATATATTGGAAAAGGGATTCAAAGGCACTATGGTCTATAAAAGGCACACTCCGAAGGTGAGGTGTAAATCAATGGAGTGAAAGGGTAGGAGTTGAGCCCAGTAAGAAAGTTAAAGAGTATGTGTGTGTGTGTGTATATTTACCCTCCTTCCTTGCGTAGCACAGTTCTCGAAATGTGCTCGGCTGGAGATCTGCAGGGGGGCCGGCGTCCCAGTAACCGGGGCGACCCCTTCCTGCTGCTGGCAGGGCTCTGGTCCCGTGGCTTTGTGGCAGATGCAGGCTGGGCAGGCTCCTTCTCCGGTCCAGTTCGGTCCAGGCTGGGCAGGCAGGATCCCCGGGAGCGGGCACAGGCGGCGCCCCCCCCTCTCTGTTTCTCCTTGCAGCAGGAGGGGCGCTCAGGCAGGTTCAGGTACTGCAGCGGGGTCTGTCCCAAGCAGGCAGAGAGAGCGAGCAGAGACAGACGAGAAGAGCAGATTCTACTCTCTTTTTATGGATCAAAGACTTTCAAGAAAGTTCTCTCTGAAAGTTTTGTTCAAGAAAGTACTCTCTGAATTAGCCAATCACCACTGGCCAGGTACATATTCTGTTAGAAGCAGGTTTTAATCTGTTGTTTATTTTTCTGCCAGTTAACATAACCCTTGTGCTGCTTCTTTGCTATGCACTTATCTGGTAGGGCAAGAGACCTGCTCATTCTGTCCTTGAGTGAATCAGTGGAAAGGCATCACTTTTGCTGACTTGAAAGGCATTTTTTGTTTAGTCTTATGTGGGGGGAAGAAGATGGACTGTTCCCCACACCACCCTTCAGATTTTTATAGACATTAATAAATTCCCCTCTCAGTGTTTTCCCTTCTCTAGACTAAGCAGCCCCAGGTCTCTCAGCCTTTCCTCATGACAGATGTTCCAGTCCCTTAATCCTCCTTGTAGCCTCCATTGGACTCTCTCCAGTTAATCCCTGTCCCTCTTGATCTGGGGAGCCCAGAACTGGACACAATACTCCAGGTGTGGTCTCACTAGGGCAGAGCAGAGGGGAAAGATGACCTCCCTGCACTTGCTAGATACACTCTTAATGCATGGTTTCTGTAGCTGATGTCCTGTTCCTCCAACCCCTGCTTGATGCTGACTCTTCAGCTTAGGTCTGATAAACATAACCTTGATTTTTGCAGAGCTGGGACAAGGTGACATCCCGACCTTTTACACTTACGAAGAAGGATTGTCACATCTAACTGCAGAGGGTCAGGCCACCTTGGAGAGGTTAGAAGGCATGTTAGCCCAGTCTGTCAGCAGCCAGTACAACATGGCTGGAGTGAGAACAGAAGACTCAATAAGGGAGTTTGAAGGTAAGAAATGCTTTTGTTTTACTAAAAATATATCAGAGCAGTGATTCTCCAGTCCAGCTAAACACCAGGACTGAGCAACTGTCATGCTATGGGTCAGCAGCAGTTTTCTCTTTGTGCACAACCAGAGGCTATAAAAATGTTTGTGGTTCTGGGCACCACCTTCCCTGCCATGGATGGAGGGTTCATAAAGAATGAGGAGCACAGTGTTAAGAATTCTTGATTCTTACTGGTGTGATTTCCTGGAGTAGTGATAGGATGAAGTTGATGTAGGATTTTAAAATAAATTAAATTTGTGAGTCTGCAGTGGGATTAGGAAGCAATTTCCACCCTAAATGGGTAATAGTATTTTTTTCTGGAAATGCTCTGAATTGTAGGTTAATTATTCTCTTACAGAGTTCAGTGTGAATTCAGAATAATTGAAATACACGGGAACAGACTTTATTTTTTAAAAATTCCTTTTCTGAAGGATGCTGGCTCTTAGTGCTACTGATTGTTCAAACATATTTAAAAAGTTGTGGTTCAGGAAAAAACCCAGCATCTCAAATTTTGCCTTTTCTGCATGCTGGTTTTACTGGAACAGCTTATTACCTGGGAGAAGAACAGGGAGGTAGTTTAGTAGCATTGCTTTTTAAATTTTTTATTTTTTTTAAAATATATATAACAATAATAATGTTTCAGTACAGTCTTGACATTTTTGAAAGATGAAGAGCCATAGAACCCAACTTCCACCAGACCAGGTTGCTCCAAGTGTGATCCATCCTGGCCTTGAGCAGGGATGGGGCAGCCACAGCTCCTCTGGGCAACCACCTTCACAGGAAATACTTTTTTCCTCATATCTCATCCCAGACTCCCCTCTCCCAGTTTAAAACCGTTTCCCCTCATCCTGTCACTCCATGCCCCTGTAAAAAGCCCCTCCCCAGCTTTCCTGGAGCCCCTGCAGGCACTGGAAGCTGCTCTCAGGTCTCCCTGGAGCCTTCTCCAGGCTGAACACCCCAACTCTCTCAGCCTGGCTCCAGAGCAGAGCTGCTCCAGCCCCCCCATCATCTCCGGGGCCTCTGGACTCTCTCCAACAGCTCCATGTCCTTCTTATGTTGGAGCCCCCAGAGCTGGACCCAGCCCTGCAGGGAGGTCTCACCAGAGCAGAGCAGAGGGGGACAATCCCCTCCCTGCCCTGCTGGCCACACTGCTGGTGACACAGCCCAGGACATGGTTGGTTTCTGGGCTCCAGCACACATTGCCAGCTCATGTTGAGCTTCTCATCAACTGCTAGCCCCAAGTCCTTCCCCTCAGGGCTGCTCTCAATCCATTCTCCCCCAGCCTATATTTGTGCCTGGGGTTGCCCTGACCCATGTGCAGAACCCTGTCAAACTTCATGCAGTTTACACAGACCCCCAAATAATAATGCAGCTGTTTATTTCTAGCTATCAGTTTGCCCAGGATAGTGAACAGAATAATCACTCATCTCTTCTTAGCCACATGGAAGATTTTTTTATTCTTTGCTTTTTCAGTTCTTTACAGGTTCTCTTTGTTCCACAACTTTGAATAAATTTATATCATGTAAAAATAACCTTAGATGATAAATTCATGTTTTAGCAGTGCCTTTCAGTTGAAAATTTGGCCAGGTTTCTGAACCTCAGAATTTTGAAAATCAAAGTAAATTGAACAGCAATTATGTTATATGTCTCAAAGCCATCTTCATCAGTTTTATTTGCCCTCCTAATCTGATTTGCCATGGTATTGCTTCTTGGATTGCTACAATTATTGATATCCCCAGAGCTGCTCACTCTCAGAATGTTATTTTTTTTAACATTGTAGCACAGAGTGATTGTTCCTTTTTCCAACCTGATGGCTGAAAGTGGTTTCAAACAGGCTCCAGCCTCTTTCTGTTAGCACAGTTAAAGCTATTAAAAGGATTTTGTTGCACCAAAACTTCATTTAAAAAATACTTAAAAATATCTGCTGTTTAAGCCTTTTTATAAGATAAAGTGGGACAGGGATGTCTTTAAGTGACCCATTCCCCCCTCCCTGGAAGTGTTCAGGTTGGATGGGGCTTTGTGCAACCTGGTCTAGTGGGAGGTGTCCCTGCCCATGCAGGGGGTTGGAACTAGATGATCTTTAAGGTCCTTTCCAACCTTAACCATTCCATTATATGATTGATTCTAAGACTGATAGAGCTGGAACAAAGCCACAGCCTTTTGTGAGCACATCGGTGCTGCCTTCAGAAATTGAGCAAAGGAGTTCTCTACTCTGGCCATCTCGTGTCAGCAGAGGGCACTCGCTGCCCTTCCTGGAATTCCAGCTGCTTGCCGTGCTGATTTGATGTTGTTTTCCAGATGGGATGGAGGTGGACGTAGCACCAGTAGTTGCGGGGCAGTTTGAAGATGCAGAAGTTGATCACTGAGGAGGACATCAGCTGCTGTAAGTTCTTCTGTCCTCCAGCAGCAGTGCTTTTCAGTCCTGCAGAGCCTTCCATCTTTGTAATTTGTATTAAGCAGGTGATCCTAGATCTCCTATGGGAAGTATCTTGTGGTAGCCAGATGATGGTGACTTAGAGAAGAAGGTAGCTGTATTTATCACAAGTATGCAGAGTTGTACAGTGATCCATCCAAAACTGCCTGCTGGTGTGAACCATCATGCTGTGGGGGTAGCTTGTGTGGAGGGGTCTGTCTGGAAGGCAGGTCAGCCCTTCAGTAGATTTAAGAACTGTCCAGTCTCAGAGCCTCTTAAGATGCTGATACATGAAGGCTGGAGCCTACTGGGAAGTCACTCCTTAGTGTCCATGATTTTGCCCTTAGTGTACAAGATCCCCCAAACTTTTCAAGGGGGTCAGGGCACTTCACAGCACTGCAAGTCCATCTCTTCCTTCACTGAAAGTAGAGCAGGAACAGTTCCCAGTAAAGTTACCAAGCACTCTGGATGGGATTGTTCTCAGAAGTTCACATCTTAGAGGCAAGACCCTGCTTAGGTGGTTGTGTCCATGTGCTCTCCTGCCTGCCAGCACCTCTCAGTGGCATCGCAAGATGTGCCAGTGTTTCCCCTGGCGCTGGGTGGGAGAGGAAGAGCAGCTCATGCTGGGGCTGTTTGGTGATGCAGAGGCACAGCAGGGTTGTGATTCCACCCCCTGCTTCAGCCTGGGCACAGTTTGCATGTGCTGCTCTAGCACTAGTGTGTTCTCTCAGTTCTTCTGCCTCGCTTGAAAGTGGGACTGCCAGCTCTGGCCTCAAAGAAAGGGCAGAACTGTCACCCTTGTAATGCCAGAGAAAACAGTTGTGGGGCAGAAGCTTGTGGGAGAATCAAGGAAAGGAGCAAGGGAGGAAAGGGCCACAACTAGGAAGAAGAAATGCCAAAAACATGGATAGAAATGGGTCAGAAGTACCTGGTTAGGGAGTACAGTACTGAGTGAGAGGCTGCAGTCCCTGAGAAAGGCTGTTGTGGGGGGGTGCTGTGCTTCTGTTTTCCTCCCCCACTGCTTGTTTCTCTTTGTTGCTGTTAATGCTCCTGCTGCTCTCAGTGTCTCTGAGTAGCCCCGTGTTCACTTACTGATCTCAACCACTGCCACTCATTGTTTACTGGTTGGTGTCAGAGGTCAAACTTTCTTTCATTCATGCTTTTTACCCTGGGAAAGGCTTCTCAGTACACAGAGGAGTTTTTCCAAAAACAGTCCAGTGGTTTGCCCCACCATTGGACAGTTACCTTATTTGATAAAGGAAACATTTTAAAAGTAAGGAAAACTCTTCTGCTGTAAAGGAAGTGCCTCTTACTTAGTGAATGGAAGACTTGGCTCTGATGACCCCATCTCCAAGATTATTTCAGTCCATCATTTATAAAAGAAATAAAAATTGTGCTGTTGAAAATTCAAATTGGAATGCTGATTGTCCTGCTTTAAACTTGAGCAGGATGAAAGAAAATGAGTGCCTGGTAGCAGATCTCTCAGGAACCTGGAAGTTCAGGTGGAAGTGATGTTGACTGATCCAGCAAAACACAAAATACACCCAGTAAGAAGTAGTTTTGGTCATTGGAATTCTTTCTGCTGCTTATGCTGTGCTTTCTACAGGGTGGCAGATGGCTGTGAGAGGTGAATATTGTGAGAGTTGATTGGATAGGGTGTCCTTCTGTCCTCGTTGTGCTTACCAGAGCTGCAGAAGTGATCCCTGCCAGGGCAGGTCAAGTGATCTGCACGAGCAGTGTCTATGTCGCAGTCAGGTTGCTCCAGGCAGCAGTTTGTGATGAGCCTTCTTAAAGTAACCACCAGCCTGGCCGTGGTGATGTCATTTAAGTAATTCCAAAGCCCTAGGATGTATATGGCAGCAAGAAACAACTGAAGGTATGAAGTGACAAGCTCTTGCAGGTCTGTGCTAATTAGCACAGCTTGAGAGTGGCTTGGTTGTACATTCTCAAAATAGGGGCAGAGAAGGAGCAGGCTGCCATCTTCTTGGTTCTCTGTGGGGCAGCTCTGCCCTCTTAACCTTCTGAACTGAAAAAATAATCCACAAGAAGATCCTGCCTCTGATCCCTTGGAGAGCCACACACTGTCCTGCCTCCAAGGCAGTGCCCTTGTGGTGCACGTTGCTGCTCGTTACCTAAATGAGATGTGACAGTTGCCTGCTGAAGCTCCTGCAAGGCCTGCTGACTCGTGGTGTGGGACATTCCCACTGCTCTTGTAATAAGCAGTGTTTTGTCTGTCACATCACGAGGCTGCAGTAATTGTCCCAGAGCAACTGGTGTGTTCTGTGTGTGCTGGAGCAGCAGGGTCTCCCAGGACATGTTGTACAACTGCGGGTTGGAAGAGCTGGTTGTCCTGAGCTGGCCTGAGCTCACAGCTGCTGGCAAAGATGTTCAGCCCTTCTGAAAATTAGGTGTGATATAAAGTGCAGCCCTCTATGACTGCAAACAATGGGTGGCTACCATTCTGTAAAGATTCATGAGCTTTTATTTTGATGCCAATTCCATAAACTTGGTTTCTTGTATCTTTCAGATTCCTCTTGTGGCACTTCCAGAATAAGCTGTAAAACTGAAGGTGTTGCAGTGACTATTGGGAGTTAACAGCTCTTTTAATGACCTAAGCTTAGACATCTAGGTCTATAAATGCTTTTTATAGATGTTTAAACCAGGGTTTGACATTTGTGACCACTATGGGGTTATTTTAAAAAAACAAAACAAACAAAAAAACAGTAAAACCTCTTGCATCTAACACTTGAATGGGGCTAATCAGGGGCCATTTCAAAGAAGCCTTTTTAGGAATTCTAGGACTATCAGAAAGAAAACTGTAAGTAGAACAGAATTTTAGATTGTCCTAGAATTTTCCATATTTTTGTACCTGTTTGTTGCATTGGTGGAGTAAAATTGAAATAGAAATGTTACGAAGTCCAACTGAAATAAAATAGGGTTTGCCAAGGTTTAAAAACAAAGCTAAATTTAGTGCCCCTCAAATATAACTGGCTTCATCAGCTCAGTGCTGTCCCTTTCATTTCTCTGTGAGCAGAGTTTGAGTGGTACAGGAGATGAAATAGAGTCTGTACAGTCCTGAAAATGAGAACTGCTTTGTGTCTTTGTTTTTTATGTTAACAGCGTTGTTAAATAAACTAAGATTTTTGTATCTCACAACCAGCTCCGTGTTGCAGTTCTCAGTCCTTTACTTCAGCATCTGGCAGCTCTGAGCTGACATCCCTTCAGTTTTAGCACTCTCTTCTGCAACAAAAAAAGGTCCAGTGAAGCTTTTGCTGTTTAATTTCTCTACACTGGTGTTTTTGCCATGAGGCAGTGTCAGCAAACACTTTCATTATTGAACTTGATGTGTGAATAATAGGGCAGAACATTTGCAGAGTTCTGCCTGTTTCCAACTTTAGGAGCCAAGAGCTCAGTCCTGCTGGAGCTTTTGCTGTTTAATTTCTCTACACTGTGGTGTTTTTGCCATGAGGCAGTGTCAGCAAATTCAAGTGTTTTTTTTTCCCCTCTCTCAGTATCCAGATGAAAGTCTGATACTAAAAAGTTTCATTTAATTTGAAGTTGACTGTGCATTTTTTCAGTATAATTATGTTGGAATACAAAGAGTTTTATTTCCCAGCCCTACACTCCTGGAGTCTGGAGTGATCCTGCCCTGCTGAATCAATGAAATAGTGAGCATGTTCTGCAACAATTCTACAAGAATGTCTTTCCCAGCCCCTCTCTATAAGTATATGGATGTATATATTTACACAAATGCATGCTTAGGGTTGCAGAGTACAAAGGAGGGCACAGAATGAAGCTTTAGTTTTTGCACTGGGATTGAAAAGGAGATTTCAGGACAGCAAAGGAGTATTAAACTCTACCAACACCATAGTTTAGGAAAGAAAGCTCATACAATTTTAAATCACTGCTCATGGTTAAAACAGCCTTTGGATTTTTATTTTCTGGTGTCTTATCTCAGTTGATGCAGTGTGATGTTTTTATTGTTTTCCATACTGAACTGCAAGCTACCTGTCATATCCTGGCAGGTGGGCACAGTTGACCTACAGGGCAGCTGGACTATCTCAGTACCCTCACACCATATCCCAGCAGTAGGAAGCTCCAGAAAGGACAATTTGTGCTGTGCTAATGCAGAGCTGCAGGAGCAAACATCTTTAGATGCTTCCAGTCAATTCACTAGAGTGAGAGTAATTTTGGTCAGGTAGAAACAAACCTGGATGAGCCCTGAAGGCAGATTTGAGGAGTGTCTTGTGTGGATTGGCAAGTTTTACTTTCAATATAACTTTATTTCAGCTATGTGAAAGTGTTCTGGGTACACTTACACTTCAGAAGCAATCAGTACTTTGAATGTAAAATACTGATTTTTGTCTGTACTACCAAAACCAGTTAAACTCTTCAGTTCCTAATTTAGCTTTATTTTTCATTCTTTCTGCTACTTTTTGTTTTGCCTTAATTTAGTCAATTTAAGGCTTGTCTATTTCTCAGTGGTTTTTCTTTTGATTTTATATTCTACTTCTAATGGCCATAAATAGAGCAACTTCATGTTGAATCACCCAGGTTTATACTGATATTTTTAAAACTATCTGTTTTACCAAAATATAAACCATGTAGACACAGAGAAGTCAGATCTGACCTTTTTGCTTTATGGACTTTGCTTTTTGGCGTGGAAGTAGAACCTCTAACCTAACAAACCTTGGCTCTCCATAGGTTTGTGTCTCTGCTTTCTCTTTTCTCTGGCTGCCTGTTTTTATGCTCTTTGAGATTTATTTTTGAGACCTTTACCCCGTGGGCTTCATGGACTTAAAGGAGGCATGCAAATCAGTTCAGGCTCCTTTCCATACAAAATGAAGCTAAAAACTAGCTTGAGTACAGCAGTGAAGTCCCAGGGAGGAAGAAAATCTGTAGGGTATGGATCACATTAATAGGTAAAAGAGATAAAAAAACAGTAAAGCAAGAAAGTGACAGGTAGAAGCCTCCCAAAGCATTTGTCTTGGAAGCTGTACGGGGTATTAAAGTACATAGAAGGACCTGCCAGATGAGGAGAGGCTGATAACACTGGGTTTGTTCAGCTTGGAGAAGAGAAGGCTCCAAGGAGACCTTATCACCATGTTCCAGTCCTTAAAGGGTGGCTGCCAAGAAGATGGAGACTCCCTGTTTACAAGGAGTCCCATGGAAAAGACAAGGGGTCATGGGCACAAGTTGCTCCTGGGAAGATTCCCATTGGACACAAGAGGGAAATGCTTCCCCATGAGGACAGTCCAACACTGGAACAGTCTCCCAAGGGAAGTGGTGGATTCCCCCTCATTGGACAGTTTAGTCTCAGCTTGACAGGCTGCTCAGCCACCTCTTTATCAACTGGAGTAGCACCTAGAAAGGTTGGACCAGCTGATCCTTGAGGTCCCTTCCAACCTGGCATTCTAGGATATTTTTCAGAAGTCCCACACACTGTGTTTCTGTTCTGGCTGGTTTATAAACAAGCAGGTGGATGTAAAACCAACTACAGGAGGAGCTTCTTCTCAGGCTCGCAGGCTGGGGCTGTGTAGTCCTCACTGGGAGGAGTTTTACAGAAGATAAGTTTCCCTCAGTAAACCTACTCACACCAGGATCCAAGTGCTGCTCAATGATAAACCAGCACTTCTAGTTCTTTTCAGTCTATTAGCAAGCTATTTTTTTTTTATTTTATTTGAATGACTGAATACAGGGTCATGGATTAAGATTCTCTTGTATGAATGTCCAAACAGTTCAGTTCATTTTGCAGTAAAATCTGAAATGTATCTAGGAAAATGAAAATGAGGAAAGATTTTTATTGCAGTTAAGTAAGAAATTACATGAAAATATTTACTTCCCAACCTCTTGCAATAAAAGATAACAGACAAGAGTAGCTGTTTATGAATTCATTCATAATTTTACTGTGGAAAAAACCCCAAACCCTGTCTGATTCCTTCCCTTCCTCTTCAAACATGGTCTGCAAGGTGAATTAGGTAATGAATACAGGGGCCTACTACTGGTATCTTTGTAGGACTTGTAACTGCCTCTCAAACCCAGTAACTACAGAGTGAAAAACTGAATTTAATCTTACATATGAAAAATATACCTTGGCATATAAAAAAATTTAAGAGGCATCCAGAAGAAGAAATCTCATGCTAGAAACAACTGCAGAGGATGGTACCTATTGGTGGTGTTCTCAGTTGAGGCTGTAAAGGGTGTGTTTGTGCCCATTTGGGGGATGTAGCTTTCCTGTGGTTTTAAGCTCTTTTATTATTCTCTCATATTGCAAATTCATTTAGTTGAAGAAAAATATCTGATAAGTTACATAAAATCAAGGACAAATTAAGTTCCACATGATTCATCCCTGTGTACTGTGTCCATTTACTATGTGAAGAGGCAGCAATCATCTCAGATAAAGTAGTGCTGTTGGTTGGGTTTTTTTGCCTAAAATGCCCTTTTATGTGAGTGTCTAGAGAATTTTATGGTACTTTATTACTGCTCCTTCCAACCAAGATAAACATTCAACAGCCTGTAGTGGGACAGAATGGGGCACAGCCTTCCCAAAGGGAAGTAGGGGGTTACTTACCTGCACTCAGGTATTATTAAAACAAGGCTGGTCCTACAGACTGTAACTTTTGGTGCAGGGCACCTCTAGAACAAAGTTGTAGAGCCTCTTCTAGGGAGTCGTGGGGCCTTTTCTTGCTCTCTGACATAAGATCTAGTGCAAGTAGGAACATGATGAGGTCACTATAAGAATGAAATCTTCAGCTCCTTTTTTTTTGCAGGTGCCTTCTAGGGGAAGAAATCCAAGAAAAACCTTGAAAGGACTCTTAAAAAATTAAGTTTTGCATGTTGTTGTAATCAAGGTCAGCAAATGGCACTTATGGTTAAAGTGACAAAGTGTTGCTGTTTTCAGCAGTCCTTCACATTCATATGGCTTAACCAAAAAATGTTGACAGGTATTCCCAAAATCCAGTGTGCTGTTACAAAAACCCCTAGTTAAGTACGAAGTTGTAAGTCAAATATTTCAACCACAAAACCTGAAAATACAACTGAAAGGTGACGTGGAAGTCGATGTCCAAGAGTTTTCTGCAAGTTTCATGGCTGCAGATGTTGAAAGTCTTTTGTCACGTTGTCCTGCTAGATGGCAGAGGTCTCAGGATATCCGAGGAAGGATTTCATCCCATAGAAAAGCCACAAGTATTGTACCTACAATAAATAATTTGTAAAGAGAAATTACAGAAAGGACCTTTATTTAAATGCATTTGAGAAGGATGTGGTACTGGGAATAAACATTATGTTCAGGTGTTTGGGTGTCTTAACATGCAGGTGAGTGGAATTCTCTGTTGGAAGGGCCAGAGCAGTCACTACTTTCTGTAAACACAACCTTTTTCACAAAGAAAGACCATGCAAGTGATCCTTCTGAGTTGATAATATTATTATTCTTTGGATGTTTAGTATTTTCATTCTGCTCAAACCAAGCCAAAGGCAGAGCAGCCTGACCAGGTGAATCCAACTCGTGCACTTCCCTGTTGCTGTGTGGGGCCTTCTGTGGAGCTGGATTTGTCAATGGCTGAACCAGCAGCTAAAAACCCCCACTCCTCAGCCAACAGGGTAAGGCTGAGTTTGCCAACAGTGTGTTTGGGAACTGCACTGGGCAGCAGGTATAGGATCATGGGGTTTTTTTGGAAGATCATTTCAGCTGCAGAATGAACCCTAAGCTAGAAAGTTAAGAGATTGTAGGTTCTTCCCAAGAAAGGCACCTAAATGCAGTATATTAAGAGCAGCTTTGCTTTTATCCTGGAAAATAAAAAGTGTATTCTGTTTCAGAAATGAAGAGGATTCTGGTCTGTCAGTGTCCCTCACCCATAGATTGTAATTTATGGATCTTCCTAGATCACAGAAATGTTTATTGAGGGGATTATCTCTAGTCCAGTCTCTCACTGGGTGCAGAGCTATTGCCTGTGAGTGTTCCAAAAGCCTCTACATATGGAAACTGTAGCACTTCTCCAGATAACTTGTTTCAGCATTACTGCACCCTTCTCCTAAAGATTTTCTTAGAGTCTAAATCTGACCTTCCCATGCCACAACCTGTGCCCTTGCTGCTGTTATATTGTCTGCCAATGAAAACAGTTCATCTGTCATTCTTGTAACTACGTTTCAAGTAACTGTTGACTGCCCTTAAAAACACCCTTTCCTCCTCATCTTCATCAGCCTAAACAAGTCCAGTTCTCTCAACCTCCCCTCACAGATCAGGTCCTCCAGGCCCTTCACCATTTTGGTAGCCCTCCACTGACTGGACCCTTTATTTTCTCCATGTTCCTCTTGATCTGGGGGACTCCCAGCTGGACACGTTCCTGAGGGCACCTCGCAAGCACTGAGTAGAGGAAGACAATGTCCTCAGTTCTGCTGGTGCCAGTTCTTCAAATTATGTGGTTTGTGTTGTTGGCAGAGAGAACAAGCTGTTGTGGACAAACTCACATTCAGGTCACTGTTGAACATACTGAGGAGTAGCAACTCCCAAGACTGGCACCCAGATACTCTGCATGTTACTGGTCATCAAACAGATGTCAACCCTTTGATTATTAATTTTTCAGGTCAGTGGTTTGGCCAATTTTTATTTCATATAATTATATAATCATTAAGGTTGGAAAGAACCTCAAAGATCATCAAGTTCCAGCCCCCCTGCCATGAGCAGGGAACCACTAGAGCAGGTTGCACAAAACCTTGTCCAACCTGGCCTTAAAAACCTCCAGGGATGGGGCATCAACAACCTCCCTGGGCAACCGATCCCAGTTCCTCAGCACCTTTAGAGTGAAGAATTTCTTCCTAATACCTAACCTAAATCTTCCCTCTCTAACAGTCTATTTGTGCAACCCCTATTTCTTTGACTCTGAACCAAGAGATGGTGTCAAAAGCCTTAATAAAATGGTGTCCTACCTCCACTGCCCCCTCCCTCACTCCCATAGCCAGTCATTTCCTCATGGGAGACCATCACGCTGGGCAAGCATGGATTGCCCTCACTAAATCTGACTGCTCCTGATTACCTCTGCAGCTTTTACATGGTTGGAAATGGATTCCAAGATGAGATACTCCACCATCTTCACAGTGACTGATGTAACACCCATTAGCTTATAGTTCCCTGGCTTCTCTTCCTGAAACATAGGCAGAGTATTAGCACATTTCCAATTGTCAGGAAGCTCTTCCAACTGCTGTAGCTTCCCATCAATTATAGACAACAAATAACCTGCCAACTCTACCTGCATTTTAAGGTGAATCCCAGTAGACCCAGCACTTTTACATTCAACCACCTTCTCTGTAGTGCCTTCCATGTTGCTCCTTCACTATTTATTGCCTCCTTTCCAAAACTTTACTGCTTTACACAGAGGTTTAAAAGCAAACTTTGCTTGGGAACACTGAGGGAGGGGAAAAAAAAAAACAAACGCAGTGTACTTCAGCCTTTTCCATGTCACCCATCACTGGTTTGTCCCCCTCCCCATCCACTAACAGACCTGGATTTTCTCTTAGACTTTTTTTGTGGTTACTGTATTTGTAACCCTCTGTGTCCCTAGTCTTAGCTTCAGCTGAGCTTTAGCATTCCTGATTCTATTCCTAAGTACGTGGACAAAGCTTTTATACTCCTCCTTTGCTGCCTGTCCCTGTTGCTACTTCTGACATGCTCTCCTTTGTTCATAGGGAAGCTTCTTGTCTAGCTAGCAGGGAAAGGCTCTCTGTCTAAAATACCCAGCCTAACTACACAACAGATTATTCCTGCACAGGGTAATGTCACCAAGCTCTCAGTGAGCTTTTTTGAAAAACTGCCTCTCCATGGGATACTTGCCCCATTTGTGGCAGCTTTTCCAGGGGAATTACTACTGACCTAGCAATTCCTAAATCATCAGCATTTTGTGCTTCTGAAGTCCAAGGTCCAAAGAGCTCTGCTGTTTACCTTCCCAGTCTTCCTCTGGACTCTGCCCTCTTGTGAGGATTACAACCCAAGGGGCCTTGTTCACCACCAGTTCTTCCCTGTTGGTGAGCAGGTCAAGTACAGGATTACCACTCACTGGCCCTTTAGTATTTGAAGTAGTCTTGATTGGTGACAGTTTTCTAGGAACTTCTTGGATTGCATTCACTCACTGCAGAAGAGTTTTGCTCTGTCAGGTGATGTCTGCATAGTTAAAAACCCCTAAGAGGACCAGGGTCTGGGAGCAGAAGATTTCTGCTAGTTGTTGAAACCCTCCTTTGCTACCCTGAGATGCTGACCACAGCACTGCACATGGACTTGCAGTTCTTGTTTCTTTGCTAAATTCCATGCTTAAGTGTACTGAACTTGATGGAAACCTCTGAGTATCCTCTCCTCTGAGTAGAAAGATTGAAGTTTCACCAGTGGTCTTCTCCCTTGCTTACCTCCTTCATTTACATCTACTGCTAAGCAACTTTTTTTGGCACTTACTGTCTATTCTGATTGCAAAAAAACCCCACCATGTTTTCTTCTAAGGAACAGTGTTAAGTCTTTCTGGTAAAGCTGATCTGAAGAAGTGGGCATTGATTCTGTTTCTACAGCTTTAGAACCCTCTCAGGGTGCTAAGCTGGCACCTGGCCAGCAAAGAGCATCCCCCTTTTATTGCCCTCAAGTCCAGTATCTTGTCACCAACTCTCCCATTCATAGCTGCCATCTCCCTGGTACTAAAAGAAGCATTAGCTGGGTCCCCATCATTACTAATGGTTATAATCATGCCTGGACAACTAAGATGAATTCCTTTGGCAGTAAAACAGAAACTATCTTTGTTCCACTGTTAGGGATTCTGTGTTCACAGCACAGAATTTAGGCCTGCCTAAGCCAAGTCATAAACACTTGCTGACATGTATATTTACTACAGGAACTGGCTGTTTTAATGCTACTGGAGAATCACCTTCACTGAAATGTCAGTGAAGCCTTTTTGAAAAATGAGTTTTTAACTACAGTTCCAAGATGATATTAAAGAAAAACCATAAACCACCAGTAGATTGGTTTATCCTAAAAGAAAACTTCCACTTCCTGCTCCTCTTGTGAGAAATAATCAATCTTCCCCTTGTTTTAAGTGTCCTGTCTAAGAAAACTCCTTTAAAGTTCATGGTTAAGAGCTGACTTCTGGCTGGATCAGGGTACCTGTTACATACTGAATGGGCTCAGTCTCCTTGTCCTCACGGGTATTTGCAGTGCCCAGAAATGAGATCATATTGCACTTGGCACAGGCTATTTGAAGTTTCATGGTGTGCTAGTCCATGATTCTGCAGCTGGTAATTATTACAGCAAATCACAAAAAAACCCCTAACAAACCCCCTATCAGTTTAGTGGTTTTAGACTCCTAAAGGTACCCCCAAATAAGACCCAAGTAATTTAACCATTTAAGATGCTGCTGCTGGGAAAGTGAGACATCAAATTAGCAAATGACTCTGACAGTTTCTAGGAAGTCTGAATCAGTATTTCTGCTGGCACATGGATTCTGAAAGTAATTTATACAACTACATTTAAAATATCCCTTCCCTCATAATCTGCTTTTATGATTCTGCTAAGAGGTTCTTTTCAGATGAATTTTATGGATTTGTAGATCTCCACTCCTGTATTCATGAATTTGGTTTTCAAATAAAACTGTCTCATCAACTGCTGCTTATGAATTTTCACAGAAATGCAACATTAGTCCCTAATCCCATTCAAAATTGCTCAAGCCCTGGTCCCAGTTGTGTTAACATCTGCTGATTTTCTTACTCAAGCTGAAACCACCTGAAGGCAGAGCAGTTCTGCAGGGTGCGTCTTGCTAAATAAGCAGAAGAGAGTGTTTCAGAATGTCTCCTGTTTCTTTCCACCACTTGCCAAAACATTAAGTCCTAAGTCTTTCCAACCTGGAAAATCTCAAAGTGGTTATAAAGTTTAGATCAGTTAATTTACCAGAAAGCTAAACTTCAATGCTGAGAAATACCAATGATATTTAATCAACTCATCAGCCTGGTGAGCTGATGATGCTCAACAGCTTTCATTAACTGCTCACTGGAACAGTGCATGGCCTTTTAGCAAGATGACTCTGTTGTTCAGCCATCCTGTTTGGACAGCAAATGTAACAAAATTGTATTAAAGTTAATTTTAGTTAGACTAAAAAACCTGATTCCATTTTTGACTGACTTAAGAGTCAGTGCAGGTAGAACATGCACAGACATGACCTCAAACCAGAAAACAAAGTAATTTGTTACGACTGGAGCCCTGTGAGATGTTTTCTGTTTCATGTGCTGTTGTACCTTCGTTGCTGTTGTACCTTCTAATAGGATTAACAGTGAGGAAAGAGTTCGGGATTAGCAGCCTGTTCTCTGTGTACCCTCTAAGCAGAAAGCTGAAGATTTGTAGGGACTGCCTGTAAATCAACAGCTCCAAGTGTCACGTGGAGCATTTTCATCTGCACACAACTAGAAGTTAAAATCAACAGCTTCCAAATTAAAACTGTAATTGAAGTCAGAAAAAATCAATTTACTAATATTCCTGGACTAAAATCAGAGTTTCCAAGAGTCACTGGGGGGGGAACATACAATAGGAATTGCAAAATTTGCACTCTATAGAGATGAAAAAGACTTGAAATTATAATAGTAATAATTAAGAAAGCATATTTGAAGCACTTGTTCTAAAACCTGTGGTTTGGTTATTTTAATTAATCATCCCCAAGATCTCCAAGATCCCCAAGTTTTCCTGTCACAAAGCAAGAGAGAAACCAGTATGTTTCTCTTTTTGAACTTAACCATGTAGCCTCTTCTCCTTAATATTCTACTAGAATCTCCAAGTGAGCCCCTTTGTCAGTGAGAGAATTTGCCACATCCCTCAAACAGCATGGATTTTCCTACCTAGGCCTGAAGTCCCCAACAACAGGCAGCTTTGAATGGATCACGCTTCAGAATAAACAGCTGTTAGTTTATAACTTAACTAGTTAACCCTAACCTAAGCACTAACCTTTTTTCATTTAGACTTGGGCTCTTGTGGTTTTTTGGTAGGTACAATTTCTCTCTCAAAGTATCCTAAAAGTCCTTAGACTTTGAACATGACATCTAAATGAAGCACTTAGATAACCTAACATGGTTGCTTCTTAAACTAAACTGATCAAACCAGTAGATACTACGTTGTGACTGTAAATAAACTGGTGTTTAAAACTCAGTATTAGATGCCTGATTCACAAAACAGTGTTACAGAGCATTAAACAGGTTTAATACACACAGCCTACATTTGCAAAACAAAGCCCTCATTTTAATGACTTGTACAGATAAGTTGCAATTTACTATTTTCTGGATTTTAAGCAGACTATCAAATAAAGAGCACCCATTTCCTGGTGGGTTTTTTTTTTTAACCATATACTAAATAAAACCTTCTCAAATACATCCAATATTAAGAACTTACCTAAGGATGGTGCTATCCAGTATACCAGTGAGTAGCTAAAAAATTGTTCATAGAAACAATTTGGATGTAATGAAGAAGCCAATGCTGGGTTAAATATTGCTCCTGTGAGATTACCACCTGCAATAAAATACAAACAATGTGAAATCAAACCACCTTACTTAATACTTCTTTTAAATCAATATTGAAATGCATGTACAGGATGGTACAAGAAATGTGCACCCTGCAATAAAATGAGTTAGCAACAACTTTTTGGGCCAGATCAACTCTTCTGAAGTTATTTATCCAAGGATATGTTTAAGTGTTTTATAAAATGCTTTCAAATATTTGAAGTGTAGGCTATAAACTTTAACTCTTTCTAGCAAATACTCTGTGAAGAAATGGGTTTGGCTTATGTTGAATGTTTCTACTGATAAAACTGTAAGCTGTTTTATTAATAGTCTGTATCACACTTTTAGAAGGGGCAGAAATTACACAAATATTAGTAAACAAATCCTGAGTTTTCATTACATCTCCATGTCACATGTAGCACAAATGCAAGATCATGGAAAAAAAACTGTTAAGGGCTGTTCTTGCTATGCTGACCTCTGTGACACTAATATCATATAAATTTATAGAAATTAAGATTAAAATATGCTAATAATGGTGGGAAAAGCCTTCTCAATCGTTCTATATGTTGTTAGAAGAAAATAAAAGCAAACACCACTCCACTGTCTTGAAAAAGGAAGCTTAAAGAAGCCAAGCATCTTTCCTTGCCTCTGACTTCACATGTGAAGGAAGTTGCCTGAACATTCCCTCAACAACTTGACCTGAACATAATACATTGTGAAGACTAAACTGAAATTAAACTGCAGATGAACCTGGAGGCAAGTGTCTTTAATTCTGACAGGTGTTGTTCCTCTCATTGCAATCCTGCACAAAAAGCATTCCTGATTACAAATTGATCTGTATTTCTGTACTGTGAGTTACTACACACCCATGTCTGTTTTATCTATTAAACTGTTCCCATAAAATATTATATAATTATGTCTGTGTAGTTGCTGAAAGATTATTCTTGATGTTCCCAAATAAGGAGCATGAGCTATGACCTCATTCTTTGTACAAATTTCCTGGTGCTGTAATTCTCATTTCTTACAAACATAAGATCATTTACTCAAAGTATCAGTAAGGTCTTTGCCATTTCCCTGGGTTTCTCTTTCTATAAACTCATTACTTCTCTCCCCATGATTACAGTACGGAAAGGTTTTCATCTCTGTTGACCTACTCAATTTACTCTGATTTTATACTTTTTCTCCATGGCAACTCAGAATTACTGTGCAGTGTTTTTCTCCACACAGACACGTTAACAACTTCCACTGTTTCCAGGAAGGCCATCTACAATAATTTACTTTGCTTTGACCTATTTATGAATTCACTGCTTCTGCTTCTACATCCACAAACACACATTTAAGAGTTGAATTTCACTCTCATGTTGTTGTTTCTGAACATTATACATTAGACAGAGATGTAACTCCTGTATTTCTTCATTAGTAATAACTATTTGACTATCAACCATAGGCCAGGACTACTGGTATAATCTTATTTAAAAATACTTATTAAGCAACTCAGTCTGTGTATCAGACAAGAGAAATTATTTTATGGCAAAAGAAGTGTAACATCTTTGCTATTGTACACATAAAAAGGTGAAGTAATGTGTGCTCCACACAATGTATGAGAAAGAAATGTTAATTTTTGAAATGACTAAAGGCAAAGCTAAAATTAGGAAGAAATCTGGAATTGAAAAGATGTCATTTTCACCTTGATATGTTAGGCTCAGAAACATCTAACTGATTTCACACAATTCTGACTTCTTTTTCATATTGCCTGTAAATGAAAAAGCCCTCAAAGGTCTATTTTTAATTCCCCTAATTAAATATTTTCCCAAAGGAAATAACTAAAAATATTCTTTACCAACATTTGTATGGTCTGCAGCCTTAGCTTCTCAATCATTTCTTTACTCTGCAAAGACATAGTATTCTCTTCTTCCTTCAATTAAGCTTTTGTGTACAATTTCCACTATTATAAAAATGTGGTCTAAGTCTGTGTGTAAATCCAAATATTTTTAACTATGAAAAAGTAGAAGAAAAACTAAAGGGACAGGTAATTTTGAAAATACTTATTTATAGTCTTTATTTTATGCAGTAAGTTGCATGGCCTATCTAAGTACTTTTTATGGGGTAGGTCACAACAGTGACTTGTCAACATTTAACTTAGCCATACAAACACAATTTAATGTATTTGAGCTCTGTATCAATACATTTAGAGAGGTATATTTTGAAAATTGAATGCACCTTTCTTAGTTCCTAGCTAGAACACTCTATCTGTCAAATTCATCTTTGAAAAAAACCCATTATTCATTAAATATTCTAAACTATTTGCTATTCTTGTAGGAAAAAGGAAGAGTGTTGCCAGTTTGCCTAAACTAGAATTGCTTAGCCTAAATTTGCACTGGTTGCCCAGCTCTGTGGTGCTGGGCAAGGAAGAAGATCCCATTCCTGTTAAAGAAGCACCCAAGTTCCTTATAAACAGTTAATGAAGAGGTGCAGATTTGCTGAGAAGGATCCAGCCCAGCTAAGTTAAGCATCTGCTTGTCTTCAAAGCCTGTAGACAAGAACTTGGCCTCCTGGAGGCCACGAGCCATAACATTGGATTTGGAAGTCACTCTTCCTACAGGGTGCAGAAGCATCGTTTCACAAACTGGAGGTGGAACAGACAGGGCAGCACGAGACCCACAGGATAGACTGTGAGTTGTGTATCTGCACCAAGACACAGGTTGTGTGTCCTCCCACCAGGCCCCTTCTCCGTTGCCTCAGCTGCCTGGTGTGCTGACAGGGGGCTGTGGGGAGGGGGGTCCTGATCAGCCACCCTCAAAATGGAGGGGGTTGGAGAAGGGAGGATATGCTGGAGAATGGTGTCCTACCTGTATCTGTCTAATCCTCCACTGAACAAGATGTTACAGACCAAGCCTGTGACTTCATCACAGAATCACAGAACTGTCTGGGTTGGAAGGGACATTCAGGATCATCCAGTTCCAACCCCCCTGCATGGGCAGGGACACCTCCCACCAGCCCAGGTTGCTCCAAGCCCCATCCAACCTGCCCTTCAACACTGCCAGGGATGGGGCAGCCACAGCTTCTCTGGGCAACCTGGGCCAGAGTCTCACCACCCTCACAGGAAATAATTTCTTCCTAATACCTCATCAGGCAGCAGCCTGCTCCCACGCTTGTTGTGTAACTGCTCAGTGATAGGGAATCTTGGGTTTGCCACCCTCCCCTACTTCAGGAGGCTTCAATCCACACCTTAGGAGTGCACAGTAAACACTGGGCTTATGGGGGAGGACAGCACTTCTCTCCTTTCAAACCTGAGTGTGCAGCAAAGAGTGCAAACCTTAGGAAGCCTGGAGCAAGAGTGAACAAGAAAGAATTACATTTTCCACTAAGTAGGCAATAAAACTAAGTTCAGGATCTGCTCCCTGGCACATATATCTATATATATTTTTACAGACTTGATTCTAGATTAAAAGAAATGGCAAGTGAAACATCCCAGTAGCACAGGGTGTTGTGCAGACACCACAGCACAAGATGCGTGTGTCAAAGAGGCCTGGGTGCAGCAGGTCTGATGTTTCCTAGAAGCACCTCCAGATGGATTGCACTGGATGGTCATCACAAGTCCAAGTTTCTGGCAAGGAAGGGGCTTGGCACACAGCCTTCTTCTGCTAGATGTGAGGCCAGCCTGGCCAGTGACAGTGGGCACCAATTCTTTGTAGGAAGTGGCAAAGAGAAAGGCAACGTGACACGGATTATTTTATGTGACTATTTGTTAAGCAGGAAAGAAATGTTAGGAATCAGGAATCCAGCTTTCTATGCTCATAGAAGAGGGAGGATAATCTTTGGCTACACTTCCACTGAGCACTTCAGAAATAGATCTTATGTGCTAGAATGCCTTTACACCTTGCTTCTGCCTTCAAAAATTAATTTTAGAAACCAGTTCACATTGCTAATTTAATTCTCAAAATTCTCTACAGGCTTCTTTTAGTCTTTCAGATATTAGCTCATTTCAGCTAAACATAATGAGGAAAGGTTTTTTCATTAATACATCTGAAAATTCAACTGTATTTTATTCTGTATGCTATTATTTTAGATAGCCTGATACAGTTAAACCTTTTGGACAAGACATCAATGATATTCCAGATATTTGGAAATATGAGTGATCTTGCTCTCTCATTGATGGATTTGATCATTTCCTAGATGACTGTCTCTGCAGTGGGGCTGTAGCACAAACAAGCAGTTCTGTAACCACCTCTCTCTCACCTCCCTGTACCCCAAACTACTGAATCTCCTTCCCAGTACAACCCACTGCAGGGGCAGTCCTCAAGTGACATAGCTCTGGCACTTCACTGGGGACAAGAGGGAGCATCCACACTCAGCAGAAAGAAGGCCAGACTGACTCCCCTCACCTCTGCATTCCCACTGGTCCAGAGAAGCTGTGCAGGTGACACTGTCCCAGCTCTGGGAAGCATGAGGTGACAATCAGGCAGGAGCAAGGACACAGCCACACAGAGCATTACAGAGACAGGAGATTCTTGTAAATAATACAAAAGGCACCTAACTTCTTTTTTTTTTACATTTGGTTTCATGAGGTACAATTTTATTGGCATAGGTTCTACAAATAACCATTCCTCAGCTACTTTGCCTCTTTGCTCTTCCCATGATTCTCCTTTCACTGCTTTGTGGCCCAGTTTGCAGAACTATTTTTGATAGCAAACTGTCTTCCACTCCCACGTTGCAGTGGATTAAGAGCTTGTAATTGCTGTTGCTTTAAACTCCTGGTTAAAGAGCTGGGCAAAGCAGGTTTAATCAAGACAGCAACAGCTGCCTGTCTGCAGAAAGGCTCCCAGGGCTGGCAACAAGCAGTGGGAGTTTTAAAGCATCCATCCCTGGTACCTATGGGGCCTTTCAGGACAGACTAGACGTGCATAAACAAGCCCTTGCTCCCCATAGGCCTTCGTGTGGGATCCTGAGGTGGTGGGGTGTTTTTTCCTACACTTCACTCCTGCTTCTGATCTGAGGATTTAACATAGTTAAATAAACTGCACTGATATGAATTATGCATTATTTCAGTGCAGAGCTTCTATTTTACTGGTCTGTACAATCAGCATTTCTTCCCTGATGCAGGCAGTGGTGTTCTCTCCCAATGCCACTTAGAAATCAGAGCACACTATATGAAACCTATCACATAGAATCATTAAGGTTGGAAGGGACCTTAAAGATCATCCAGTTCCAACCCCCCTGCCATGAGCAGGGAACCACTAGACCAGGCTGCACAAAACCTCATCCAACCTGGCCTTAAAAACCTCCAGGGATGGGGCACCAACAACCTCCCTGGGCAACCCATCCCAGCTCCTCACCACCCTCACAGTCAAGAATTTCTTCCTAATACCTGACCTAAATCTCCCCTCAGTTCAAAACCATCACCCCTTGTCCTATCACTGCCTTCTCTGGTCCCAAGTCCCTCCCCAGCTTTCCTGGAGCCCCTTCAGGCACTGGAAGCTGCTCTCAGGTCTCCCTGGAGCCTTCTCTTCTCCAGGCTGAACACCCCAACTCTCCCCGCCTGTCTTCACACCAGAGCTGCTCCAGCCCTCCCAGCATCTCCGGGGCCCTTCTCTGGATCCTTTCCAACAAGTCAATATCTTTCTTGTGCTGACACAGTCAGATTAGAAATGACCCTTCCCTATTTTAACAGTCTTCTGTGAAACTCTTAACGCTCTTTCCTTGTGATACAATTTTAAATTCCTAACTGTTTTCATTCTTGACCCCACACCTGCCTGGGATCTAACCTGACAAGCTTTACATCATCTCCAAATGAGCTCAGCAGATGCAGGACCAAAGACTTGCCTTTGACGTGTTGTTTTTTCCTACTCCAAGAAAAAATATAGCCTGCATCTTTGCATAAAACACGACCAAAACAACCCTTCCGTGACAACTTTTGTTGCGGCTGAGCAGAGGGAAAAAAAAAAAAAATCAATCGACTGACCTGCATACACCAGCATGGTGATGAGAAGAGCCACCAGGTGGACCTTGTATTTGGGGCTGACTCTCTCCACCCGCAGGGCCGTCAGCTGGAACACGACGGAGAAGAGCAGCTCGATGCAGAACGCCTGCAGCTCCGAGGTCCTCATGGGGTGGCTGCAGCCTTGGGACAGCGCCCCGAAATGCGGCTCAGCCATCTCCAGGCTCCAGACGAAGCTCATGAAGAGCCTGGCGAGCCCTGCCGCCAGGAACTGGGCGCAGATCTTCACCCCCCCCATCCCCAGGGGGATCCCCCCGCCCCACATGGGCTGCAAAGTCCCGCAGGGGTTGCAGGCGCTGCCGGGCAAGGTCAAACCGTGCAAGACGGTGAAGCCGTAGGGAGGGGGGGGGGGGAGCGCAGCCGGCGGCGGGTCAGGCTGCGGGAAAGCCCCACGCACAGCACGATGCCCCCCAGCAGCAGCAGGGAGGTGCCCACACCGCCCCCCGACATGGCTGGAGCTCCC